AAGTCCAACTGCAAATTGAAATTCTCAGTGGGCAACCACTTAACTCTCTTCCAATTTTTTCAGAGTTTCTGTTTTGAATGAACTTCCTGGAAATCCCCCTGGTGGAGCAGCTGCTCCCAAGGATGCTTTCAACTCTGTCCTGGCCCCCAACAGGTGGTGATGCCTCAGGGGGTCTGGGCTTGAGTGCAGGAAGGACAAAAATATCTGCAGCTGTGCACATCCTAAATTCGAGTTTCCTTTCAGGGTTTTAAATACATTTTTATAATACAATTGTTACACTTAATGATTTATTCCTATTTCTTGGCCTTGCCGTTCGACCCTATATAATATTTTCAGGAAGCCACGCTTTCATTGTTGCACGTAATTCACTGTAGAAATCAGCCAATGGACCAATGTAAACATAAAATTGAGGGTTTTCGAACTGAAGGCTGAAGTGACGCGGGAAAGTCGAATTCTATCCCAGTAGAATTAATTTTTCCTATTAGCCATCTTGGAGAAACGGATTTTGAGGAAACTAAAATTTCTCAAGTGACGATTTTTTAATGACAACATTCTATTTTCGGAATCAAAAATCGGCAACACCAGAGTTAATCGTGAAAAAAATCCATCATGCGAGATATTCGTCATCCGGGCCCCGGGGAACCATTGTACACTGGGGTCTCACCATACCAGTACCCTGACATGCTGACAATTCAAAGTTTAGCTGAAAAAAAATCTCCCCCGACATTTGGACCATGTCTGAATGTACGGAAACTTTTCAGAAAACCAACATTTCCAAAATACTGGAAAAATTTCAAAATATTGATATTTCGAACAAATTTAGCTATTTTATGCAAAATTTAAAATGCATAAATTTATTCTAATTCGTAATCCAAAACAGGCTGATTTTGTGCTTCTCTTTTTATGTCTATTCCCGTAAATTGTTTATACATGTAGTATGTTATTTATGTAGTAAAGCAATACTGTATTTGTTCTTGTTTTTTTTGCGTTTTTGGTCTCCGTTTCATGTCAAAATAGCAGCTTTTGGATGATTTTCTTCTGCATAGATATTTTCTGCATCTTACACTTGAAAAAAACTATTTTGGGGTACTTTTTCCAATCTCGGGAGAAATTATTGAAAATGTTCCTATTGAAGTCTATAAGGAAATGCGATCCGACATAAAGACACAGGCCGAGAATTCATTTTGTCCGCATCTCGGAGCCCCCCTTGTAATTGTTCTGGAAAACCCAGTGTCTTGAGGAGAATTTATTGAGACACCTTTGAATGAAAGATCATCTTCCGATTCTTTGGGTGTTTCTCGGTTTCCCTTCGGTTTTTTTTTTGTGGTAGTCGTGAGCAGGATTTATCCATGTGCAGATCCAGTGTATCCTTCGAACCCCGGGTATCCTCCTCCTGGGTCGATGTATCCTCCATCTGCGGCCCCGGGACCATATCCACCACCGCCTGCGGGCCAGTATCCGCCACAACCAGGGTCGTATGGAGCGGGGTATCCGCCACCTGCGCCAGGTTACCCCGGGGCGCCCCCGCCACCTGGCGGATACCCCGGAGCTGGTTATCCTGGTCCCCCGGGCGGTGTTTATGCCCCGCAGCAACCGGTGAGTTTGCATCTTTTTTTTTTTTCTTTTTTTTTTGTGCGGGAGATGGCTCGAAATTTTTGTCTGGTCCTTGAAAGTACAGCGCAGTTCTTCAGGTGCACGAGTTCCTGCTTCAGAATTCTCCGAATCACTGTGGGATAAATTACGTTAGCTTCAAAAGTAAAGCCCTGTTCATAAAAAAAAAAAAACGTTTTTTCAATTAAATCATAGACTTGGAAACATTTTTGCCTGTCGATGGAAATTTTAGCAGCCTTCATATTCATGAGTTGTGGAAATTGCAAGGGTGGAGGATGTTCAATTTTTATTGGGACAAAGTCTGCATCTTTGGGGCATTGTTGGAAATATTTTGAAATTTCCTGAATTTATTCATCATCTGGACTGTCTACACATTTTTTGAAACATGACCGTGCGACTGGTGAACCGTGTTTGTTCGTAGTGACGTACTGCACTCTTTCTCCGTTTTTCTTTTACCTAATTAAGCCAAAATTTCGAACTGAGATCGAAAAACGATCCAATTACTGTCTTTTGAAAAAATATGTCCAATATTCAAGCAAATGAAGCACGAGACTGACGAAACTCATGGACTAATCTCGATGTGTTCCGTTTTGGTCTATGATTTATCCTGATGTGATAGTGTAGGGTTTGACGTATTTCTCGTAGATTTTCGAACTTATGTCGCCAATTTCGTTGGTGTGGCATTTTATTGGAATTCCTGTGCAATCCTCACCCGAAATTCCGGCAATTTATAAAATTTACGACAGATTTCTGAAGCAATTGAGCGCGAGTTTAGTCCAGAATGCCGAACGTTAAGTTTTATTCGCGTCATTATTGCAAATTCGTTCTGAATTCCTTGTTTGACGTTGATACTGACGAAAGCAGCTGGCGAACAACGGAAGTAGCTAAAAGGGACGATCCTTATTTTTCGAGTCTCTGGCGTTTGACTCAACTAAAGCTGGTACAAATTGATTGTTGCGATTTATTATTCATCAATCCATCCAGTACTTGAAAATCGAATTTTCCCGATATCCAGCTTTAAAAAAAAACTTGGGTGTATTGTATATTATAGTATATATACTTATATACCGTATTTACTCGAGAACCACGCGCACCTTTTTTCTCAAATTTCAGAAGAAAAAAAGGGGTGCGCGTCATGAGCGGGCAAAATTTTCAAGAAGTTTTAGGAAGTTATGTGTGCATTATCCTTAATTATAATGGAGAAATTTGGAAAAGATGTACCAAGAAAACTTGTTTATACTGAAAAAGTTGAAAATTGATCAGATTTTTATTCAATTCATGTCTAAAGTCAAATTTTTTGTTGTTATTTCCGAAATTTTGTGGATTTAGATTCACTAAAAATTGGGGTGTGCGTCTTACTCGGGTAAAAGGTTTTAGCAAAATTTCCAACTGAAAAACTTCTGTGCGCGCCTTACTCAAGGGCGCGTGGTACTCCAGTAAATACAGTACGTTAGTATATCATATTTATTAAAAAAATATTGATTTACTGAAAATATATCGGAATGCACTGACTTCAGTCCGTGAATGCGGAGATAATTTGACCGAGTCTTTTCAGAATCGGAAAAATTCCACATTCATTAATTTGTCAGAAGTGTCAAAACGAACCGATTACTAACCATATCTCGTGTTCCTCGTTTCAACTGCGATAATCGCGGCGATAACAACCTATGAATTCAATTGTGAATAACTCGTTCATCGTTTTAAACGGATTAGTGCAGATTCCGAGTATTGCTCGCTTTACTAGTGACGTTTGCTTTGCTTGAATTAATTTTTCGAACTGTAGTCGGTGATGTTCGTTATTTTTGAAGAGTTCCGATTTTAACTTCTGGCTTCATGATGAAAAGGAAAAAGAAGCGTGGTTACGATGTTTCAAAACATTCTCGGAGGAAAGTTCACCACAAAACTTCGCGCCGTTATTCCTTCTATTTTTTAATCGACCCCATTGTGTAATAAGTTCAGTAGATTATAATTCCCGTCGCAACTGAACTTTTTTGCAATTTACTTCTCTTTTTCCATCAATAAAGTCTCATACAATTTTTTCAAGATTCTGTTCGTTCCACAAGATTTTTTTCCCGATGCAGAGTGATCCTATTCCTTTCGGATGCATATACATAAGGGGGGAGCGTTTCGTTGAACACGGGCTTGAATTCAGCGATTTCATGAAATGTCTGGGTTTTTGTGTCCAACGCAATTTTTCAGATGTAGTAAAATGGGCCCGGACTGGCGCTTTGATCAATGCCAGTCTGTTCGTTGTAAGCCATGAAGCAGGACTCGTATCCGTAGTCTCGTAATCGCTCAGTGATGCCGACCCATGTCAGCTTGTTGTAAACGATTCGATTGATGAATTCATCTCCGCAGTAGGAAGCCACTGGTGCTGTGTGAGCTCTCATGGCCCCGGTGTCTGTGATCCAGTCACGTGGTCCTGTTTTGTTTTTTGTAGGTAAAAGAAAAAAAAATCACGACATAAAATTTTTTTGAAGGTTCACACAGTATTTAATCGAGTACCACAAGCCCTCAACTGAGACGCGAATCTCGATTTTTTTTAGCCTGACGTTTTGATAAAAACATCATTTCCGAGCAAGACGCGCACTTCATGTTTTAAGAACTGAAAATTGGAAAATTTCAGCAACAAAAGACGCATCGAAATTCATATTTCAACTTGAATTCAATTAATTTCCTTTTGAAAAAAAATGAGTCGAACCTTTTCCCGTTATAATCAAGTGCGATGATCATTTACATTTGTAACATTTTAAACAATTTATACCCACCTATGGCTCGTACCCTCCTTTTTTTCGTCTCTTTTTTAAAAATAAAAGTGCGCGGAGCACTCGATTAAAATCCGTTTGTTGATTATTCAACCTAGTCTAATTTTAATCTATGATTTTTCTATGCGTTTGAAACGGCGTAAAATGTGGAAAGACGTAGATGGCCAAAGATAATTTCACTTGACGTTACGTATTTTTTTACTGATTATGAATGAATTATCAATATTTTTCAGGATAATCCCAATAATAATCTCAACGCTGTACCTTTTTTACTCGAGTACCTCGCTAACCTTTTACAAAATTTTGAGAGGAAAAAAGGAGGTTCCTTGTCAAAGGGATAAAGTTTTCGAATTTCAAGTTTAGATGTGTCTTATACTTGTTTCTGATGTAAAAATTTGATTCAATTCCGACAGGAAATTTTTCTTGAACCGAAAAAAAAAATTAAAAATTGCTTGAATTTACAGTATGTTAAAATTACAATTCTGGTGTATCTTATTATTGAAATATTTCAGTTTTTCGGTCACTAGAAATGGGGTTCGAGGTTGCATGGTACTCGAGTAAATGTGGTAAGTTGAACCTCTCTAAGTCGAATTTCTAGGGACCAGAAAAAAATTCGACTTGGGAAGGTTTACATTTTTTGAGATTTGGGGTAAAGGAAACAACTATTTTTGCTACGAGGAAAATGGGAAATTGTAGATGAGGATATTCTGGGCCTAAACTTGCTTCTTAATGAATTTAAAGCTTGCTGAACTTGTTGGCAGGGGTTCATTTCTTCAATTAGTCCTTCACTTCATTTCAAAATGCATAAAATAATTTATTTTGTTGAATTTAGCTTTCATATTTCAAGGAAATAATAACCAAAAGGCATTGGAAAATTCGACTTACAGAGGTTTTAGAGAAAAATATTTCGAGTTAGGTAGGTTTTTAATACATTACATTGTTTCCATGGCAATCCAGACAGGGACTTGAACAAAAATTCGAGTTAGAAAGGTATTCGACTTAGAGAGGTTCGACTCAGCGAGGTTCACCTTGTACCTCAATATTGATATAAATAACATGTTGCTATTTATTATGCACAATATCAGTATTAAATGCGTGTAGAATACCTTCGCATCCGATTTCAAAAGTGAAGTTGCCAGAGTAGTCTATGGGGATCCAAAGGATTTTTGCACCCAGTGCCTTGGCGGCTCTTCCCGTGACGTAAACGTCATCCCAGACGGGTTCGAAATCGCTTTCATTCTTATCTGCGTACCCCAGGACCATATTGGCGTAAGTCATGGTTGCAAAGTAAGCGAATCCCATTGCAAACTCTGTCTCCATCGCTGAACCTTGATGAAAAAAAAAATTAAGGAAAACGACGTTACGAAAATGGATTTCAGTATCGATTCGTGGCATGTTTTTTTTTTCTTTTCAAAATTCGACTCGTTCTCCGTATGATTTCGACTTATTCCATGCACTTTGACGAATTAAAGGTTACTGTCTTTTGATTTCATTTGGTAAATAAAGTATGACTTCGGCAGATGAAATCAAATTTGGATGGCTAACGAAAAACAGCGTTACTGAAACACGTTTCAATGTCGATTTAGGTCTTTTTTATTTATTCATTCGTTCCGTTTTCTATGTGAGCCCGCCTTTTCTGATGAATTTCCGCGAATTCAAAGAGACTGTCCGTCTTTTAATTTTACTGCGGAATGAAATAGATCTTGTGGAGATGATCTAAAATCATCGTTTATTCCTCTTTTGTTCTCAGTACAGTACTTGTATGCTTTCTCATAATGCAAAAAGTACTGGGTTTTTTTCTTTCTAAAAAATCATGGAAAAATTCTTTAGACCCCAAGTTTGCATTTCAGTTTAACAAAACCTTGAAAAATTGGGTCGGGTATCTTTGTGGAAATATCCATTTGAAGGCACATCCGATCAAAAATCTCTTCTTTAAGCTCATCTTTGGATGTTCAAAGCATGTTCGATGCATGGATTTTTAATGAAAACTGTAGCTGATTGCTAATTTGTGAAACTTGAATAGCTTCATGAATAAGTTCAAGTCCTTGGCAAGAGAAAAACAAACGAAAAATTATTCAGAACTGAATATTCCCGAGGAAACGCTTTACTCGCCTTTTATGTTGTATTGCGCACAAAAAGTGTATTAAATTCCAAATCATGGGATGGGATTAATTTTGGAACAGAAATTACAATAGATTGCATAAATTAAAGTAGATTTATTTTAAATGAAATACTGAATCGCTATGTAGTGTGTTTTGATTGAAGGCAGTTATCAAAAAAGATGCCGTCTACCTGAAAATTGTCACTACGTATCAAAATTGGCAAGAATTGAAGCGTTTTATTCAAGAATGCTAAGTTTAGCAATTTTGCCTCTCCAAACTTCAAATTACCACTTTCTCAACCTTGAATACCACATGCTAACGTATGAAGGTTCAAGATAATCTCTATGCGCGATGGAATGATGGCCAAAAACTTTTTTTTTTTTTTGAAATTCTGCCATCCATGTTTGGAAATGTTTGAATAGGTGGAAAATTGTAGCCGAGGGTCACGTGTCCTAGAAACGCAATTCTTTCGAAATACGGTATTGGCACACACACTGTAAATTTTGCCAATTTTTTGCTTACCTCTCAAGACTCGTCCGACCCGAAAAGAGTAATTTCTGGCATCCGCTATGTCTCTTGGAAGGGCTTGAGTCCCAAGAACGTCATGATTAAGGAGTTTTGTTTTCAATTCTTGAACCAGCCGTGCGGCATTGACGAAAGTTTTCACGTCGATTCGTCCCACGTATTTTGCGGATGGTGCGAATAGTTGAGCCCACGCGAACCCGGAAAGAACCTGTGCAAATTATTATTCACGAACGATGATTTTTCTGTGTTGGAAAACATTTTGTTGGCATTTTTGGTTACCGCATTTGCTCGTGTATAATTTCCCCTGCAAGAATTGATTAAAATATAAAATAGAGCGATTTATAACCGATGAGGTCTTTAATTCGCTGGTAAAGGTAAAATTGTATTTTTAGCTACAGTATTTTTAAACCTTGCGAGGGTAAATTTATTTTTGCCCTCGCAATCTGTCGAAGAAAAAAGTGGTCGTCAAATCTAATTGTCATTTTTTAACATCGATGATGAAGGAATTAGAAACCTGATATCAGTTGGGAATGGAGGAGGAGCAGATCAAGTTGGAAAAATGAAACTTGAGTAAAATCAAAAGGCAAGGCTCACTGACTACGTAGAATTTAATTAAACGCGAAATTTTCAAATGCAAATTATGCCTTTTTAAGTTCTGGAGGCTCGAATATTCGATTTTGTCTTCTAATTTTATTATGGTACAGTATTTGTTAACCGTGCCGTGGAGAAAACATGTACTGTATTATAGTTGGGAAGAACCCTGATATTAATTCTTGGAATTTTGCTGTAAATGTGTTGGCAAAAGATCGAAAACTTTAAAAATGATACGCACTAGGCCGGGTACTGTACAGTATTTCAAAAATTCATCCGTCGTCGAAGCCGTGGCAACATTTGTTCTCAAATCGTGGTTTGCAGTTGTAAATAAATGTAATTGTTATTCAGCTCCAGGACACGACTAGGAATCTCTTCGAAATACTACACGAAAGTTCGATGAGTTCATTCGCTAGATCTATAAATCCTGGCGCAGTTGAGGTGAATATAATCCGGTTAGTTTTCAAAAGAAAGTAAAAATGCGACGAACAACGACTCTCATAAAAGCCTTGTGTTGTATTTCCTAGATCGGCTTTTCCATCATTCTTTATTGTCATGCTATTTCTTGAAGGTTGTTCGAAAGTTCCAAGAAAATTATAATGCGTTAGTTTCTTTGGCTTTCGATTGCGCTATTGGCTGTTTGTAAAACTATAGGGAGGAAAATATCTGTGAATGAATTTCGAAATATTACTTCAACCTAAATACTGTTCTGTAATTCAAAGCAATTCACAAACATCTACATTATTTCAGTGTATTCGCCGCCAGTCGCATTTTTCATTTCCATTGAATAAATCAATTCCTGATGAACTTAGATACATTTTCCTTGGGAATTTCCGTTCAGCAATTTCCGAGTTTTTCATCATCAACATCGAAATTTTGAAAATCTAAACTCAATTTAGGGGTTGTCGTTTGAAATCTTTTACTGTACTGTACTATTCTCTTGATTACGCACCTCTTCTCGACAGATTCATGGCATGCAAGATAATATATATTGTTCGAGGACGAAATTCAACTTGGAATATTTTTTTCGTTCTGTATCTTAGTTTTTTACTGTACTGTACTATTCTCTTGATTACGCACCTCTTCTCGACAGATTCATGGCATGCAAGATAATATATATTGTTCGAGGACGAAATTCAACTTGGAATATTTTTTTCGTTCTGTATCTTAGTTCGGCATCTGGGAATTCAAAAATTGGGTGAATTCAACGCTGGCAACCCTTGCTACGAATCGCATTGAAGCGTTACTTGAAAACCTTTTTTGTACCGCAAAATTAAGAAGAAACAAAAAAGAAAACGACAACAAATTCCTGCTGTTGCTGACTGAAGTACATTACAGAAATCAGTAAATGTATGAGGAATCACTTCACTAATTGGAAAAAATTTAGATTTTGTACAAGCAAGCAATTTTACGCAAGCTTGGGCTGCCGCAGTTAGTAAGGATGAGAATTCAAAATGCGTGCAGAAATTTGACAGGGCCACGCATAAACGGCTAAAATGCTTCTTTCCTTTGTGTAAAAAAAGTTCTCCCTACGAGCTTCAAAATATCACTTAAGGCTTATAACATGTGCAAAGAACGCGTTGGAATAGACAAACTACTACTTCGGGTGAATCAATCATGACCAAGTCGCCGAACTTTTCAGCCTCTTCTAGGATGAAACGCCGTATTGGATATCCGTGGTCAGTGTAGACGATTTCGTTTTCTACACTTCCGGTAGCCGGCGGAACTCTGTGGAGATAAATTGGATAATTATCAAGAATTATATATGGTGCCCCGGATTTTTTCTTTGTTAGGAGAAAAGCTTTTCAGGTTGGTTTCATCAAGTTAGAAATTCTCCTGCTAATGAAAAAAAATTTGTGACTTTGCGAAAAATTGAGGGACTTGGTTAGCTTAATACTTTGTTTATAATTCGAAAGGATGACAGGAACTATTACGTACTATAAAGAAGTAATAAGAAGATCTACAGCGAAACTAGACATTTGGACCTTGACTAAGCATCAAGGGGTCATTTCCACTTGAATGCCTGACGTCACAAATTTTTTTTGGAGTAAATAAATCTGCTTTTTCATCAGATTTGTCAGTTATGTCCGAGTTAAGTTGGGATTTGCGAATTTGGCCTTTGGTTTAGCTCGAGTTTTTCAGGTGAGCTTCGGTTCTCAGTGTTTTGGTGCAGCATTTTCTTTTCAAGACTGTATACCTGCCTGAAATTCTGGAAAAACGTGTTTGACACGAAAGCCTCAAAATGATGACGTACGCCGAATTTTCAAGTTTTCTTTTTTATTGTTGGTAGCAGTACAGATTTGAAAAAGAATGCGCCACGTTGCAATTCTACACTCCATTATTTTTATTTAGATTGTATTACGCTTGTCAAACCTCACTGAAATGTAAAAAAATACACGTTGAGTGATACATCTAGGATAAGGATAATCCACATCCTGGATAACATGACGATAAAATCGCGGAATCAGAGAAAGTGATATTCATGCATCTCGCCTCATTTTTTAAATGAAATTCTTTTTCGCTAACAAGCGAGGAAATTTCAAAAAGACCAGCCTGTTGCATCTGTCTGGCATGCAAATTTGTTGATGGTTCGCAGTACTTTTGAGACCAGAAATAAATATTATATTGTATCGAACGAGTTCACGTATTGTGGAACTCAGTTATTCGGGCTCTGGTCAATCGGTATCCATTTCAAATTCTGAAATTTTATAAATTGGCAGAATACAAACTCCCTTTTATTACCCCTTAATTGAAGTGGAGGCCCTTTGTTTATCTTCGATTAAAATTAAGAAACCCATGCAAATGCATTTTTAAATTTTCTTCATAAATTTCCGTATTTTCTTTATAAATTTCCGTATTTTCTTTATACATTTCCGTATTTTCTTTATAAATTTCCGTATTTTCTTTATACATGTCCGTATTTTCTTTATAAATTTCCGTATTTTCTTAATAAATTTCCGTATTTTCTTTATAAATTTCCGTATTTTTCTATAAATTTTGCTGAGTCATTTTCTGAGCCTTATTTTTTTTACTCCTAATTCAAGACCATCAAAGAAATATATTTATCTGTGCTGTTGAGCGTCCCGATCATCGTGTAGGATGATCGAAAGTATACCGTATTTTATCGAATCCGTTTGTGAATTTTTCCAACATTCATCTTGAATTTTTGAGGACTTTTATACTCACTCATTCTCCAGACTGAATGATTCCCCTATGACAAAAATGGCGCAGATGCCATGAGCCCGAAGGTATGCTTGCCCGAGGGAAGTTTCTCGTGCCACGCGTCTCTCGCGGGTCTGTTTTGCCGTCGACAGCACGATGTAGACTGTGTGGATCTCGGGATCGTGGGTCGTGGACGGCCAGCATTTCTGGCGTTCCCATAAAATGGGTTCCACGCCGGGTTTGCGAGCCAGGTCGACGAACGCGAGCCACGAGTTGCCCAGACGCCATCTGATTTCGCCTGGGGGAGGGGCAGAAAATGGAAGGGGAGGATCTCTGTACATTAGTTGTCATTTTTCCAACAAAGGAAGTGATAGGAATTGTAAGTAAAACACAACGATCAGCCTGGGATTGGCTCGGAGCCTCTTTATGGAGGCTCCAAGAAATTGAGTTATACTGTATTAATGTCCCAATGCAACATTATTCAACTCAGAGAACTTTGCAACTCACACTAATGCTTTCACACAACACAAGTATACATTCAGATAAGGTTTTTGATCAGATCAAATGCATCGTTTTATGTCTAATCAGCTTGAAAATTTGCTGTGGGAATGAGTAAATTTGCTGAGTTGGAGAAGAGAGAGGACAGGCAAAGTTGATTTCCTTGGAATGGAGGTTTTTTAGTCTTGAGGCTCTCTGAGGATTCTTATCCAGCGAGACCCTCACATGCGGAAAATTCGACATAGGGACACCTCTTTCCCATAAAGAATAATGAAAAAGGCCCGACATGGGGACACTGACTTAACACAGGGAGATTTTTTCTATAAAATTGCGAATACGTTTCAGGCCAAATTACAAGGAACAGATATTTCCAACCCTAAAATTTATGGAAGAAAAGTTCTTGGGTATTTCTCTCACTAAATGATACGCACTAGGCCGGGTACTGTACAGTATTTCAAAAATTCATCCGTCGTCGAAGCCGTGGCAACATTTGTTCTCAAATCGTGGTTTGCAGTTGTAAATAAATGTAATTGTTATTCAGCTCCCGGACACGGCTAGGAATCTCTTCGAAATACTACACGAAAGTTCGATGAGTTCATTCGCTGGATCTATAAATCCTGGCGCAGTTGAGGTGAATATAATCCGGTTAGTTTTCAAAAGAAAGTAAAAATGCGACGAACAACGACTCTCATAAAAGCCTTGTGTTGTATTTTCTAGATCGGCTTTTCCATCATTCTTCATTGTCATGCTATTTCTTGAAGGTTGTTCGTAAGTTCCAAGAAAATTATAATGCGTTAGTTTCTTTGGCTTTCGATTGCGCTATTAGCTGTTTGTAAAACTATAGGGAGGAAAATATCTGTGAATGAATTTCGAAATATTACTTCAACCAAAATACTGTTCTGTAATTCAAAGCAATTCACAAACATCTACAATATTTCAGTGTATTCGCCGCCAGTCGCATTTTTCCTTTCCATTGAATAAATCAATTCCTGATGAACTTAGATAAATTTTGCTTGGGAATTTCCGTTCAGCAATTTCCGAGTTTTTCATCATCAACATCGAAATTTTGAAAATCTAAACTCAATTTAGGGGTTGTCGTTTGAAATCTTTTACTGTACTGTACTATTCTCTTGATTACGCACCTCTTCTCGACAGATTCATGGCATGCAAGATAATATATATTGTTCGAGGACGAAATTCAACTTGGAATATTTTTTTCGTTCTGTATCTTAGTCCGGCATCTGGGAGTTAAATTGGGTGAATTCAACGCTGGCAACCCTTGCTACGAATCGCATTGAAGCGTTACTTGAAAACCTTTTTTGTACCGCAAAATTAAGAAGAAACAAAAAAGAGAACGACAACAAATTCCTGCTGTTGCTGACTGAAGTACATTACAGTAATCAGTAAATGTATGAGGAATCACTTCACTAATTGGAAAAAATTTAGATTTTGTACAAGCAAGCAATTTTACGCAAACTTGGGCTACCGCAGTTAGTAAGGATGAGAATTCAAAATGCGCGCAGAAATTTGACACCCGGTGCGTATTTGCCGATTTTACGAAGAAAGGAAACACATTTTTTTCAAGAGGGATGCTCGAAGTTTTATAGTGAATTCCGAATATTGTACACGTTTCTTGCGCAACCTTATCTGTTTGATGATGATAAACACTGAAACGCTTTTTAACTCCCTGAACCAATCGAATTATGAAACAAATATTAAGCTTTCCTACTGTCCTTGATAATGCATGATATTTCTTCATTATTCTTCTAGATGTCGCTTTGATCTGTAAATGAGCTTGACCAAGCATCAAAGGGGTCATTTTCACTTGAATGCCTGACGTCACAAATTTTTTTTGGAGTAAATAAATCTGCTTTTTCATCAGATTTGTCAGTCATGTCCGAGTTAAGTTGGGATTTGCGAATTTGGCCTTTGGTTTAGCTCGAGTTTTTCAGGTGAGCTTTGGTTCACTGTGTTTTGGTGCAGCATTTTATTTTCAAGACTGTATACCTGCCTGAAATTCTGAAAAACCTGTTTGACACGAAAGCCTCAAAAACGCCAAATTTTCAAGTTTTCTTTTTTTTTGTTGGTAGCAGTACATATTTGAAAAAAACAGCGCCACGTCGCAATTCTTCACTCCATTATTTTTATTTAGATTGTATTACGCTTGTCAAACCTCACTGAAATGTAAAAAAAATACACGTTGAGCGTTAAATCTAGGATAAGGATAATCCACATCCTGGATAACATAAAGATAAAATCGTGGAATCAGAGAAAGTGATATTCATGTATCTCGCCTCATTTTTTAATGAAATTCGTTTTGGTTAACAAGCGAGGAAATTTCAAAATGACCAGCCTGTTTCATCTGTCTGGCGTGTTAATGGCTCACAGTACTTTTGAGACCAGAAAATAAATATTCTGTTGTATCGGACGAGTTCACGTATTGTGGAACTCGGTTATTCGGGCTCTGGTCAATCGGTATCCATTTCAAATTCTGAAATTTTATAAATTGGCAGAATACAAACTCCCTTTTATTACCTCTTAAGTGAAGTGGAGGCGCTTCGTTTATCTTCGATTAAAATTAAGAAACCCATGCAAATGCATTTTTAAATTTTCTTTATAAATTTCCGTATTTTCTTTATAAATTTCCGTATTTTCTTTATACATTTCCGTATTTCTTTATACATTTCCGTATTTCTTCATACATTTCCGTATTTTCTTTATACAGTACATGTCCGTATTTTCTTTATAAATTTCCGTATTTTCTTCATAAATTTCCGTATTTTTCTATAAATTTCCGTATTTTCTTAAAAAATTTCCGTATTTTCTTTATAAATTTCCGTATTTTTCTATAAATTTTGCTGAGTCATTTTCTGAGCCTTATTATTTTTTTACTCTTTAATTCAAGACCATCAAAGAAGTATATTTATCTGTGCTGTTGAGCGTCCCGATCATCGTGTAGGATGATCGAAAGTATACCGTATTTCATCGAATCCGTTTGTGAATTTTTCCAACATTCATCTTGAATTTTTGAGGACTTTTATACTCACTCATTCTCCAGACTGAATGATTCCCCTATGACAAAAATGGCGCAGATGCCATGAGCCCGAAGGTATGCTTGCCCGAGGGAAGTTTCTCTTGCCACGCGTCTCTCGCGGGTCTGTTTTGCCGTCGACAGCACGATGTAGACTGTGTGGATCTCGGGGTCGTGGGTCGCGGATGGCCAGCATTTCTGGCGTTCCCATAAAATGGGTTCCACGCCGGGTTTGCGGGCCAGGTCGACGAACGCGAGCCACGAGTTGCCCAGACGCCATCTGATTTCGCCTGGGGGAGGGGCAGAAAATGGAAGGGGACAATCTCTGTACATTAGTTGTCAGGGATTCAATTTTTCCAAAAAAGGAAGTGATCGGAATTGTAAGTAAAACACAATAATCAGCGTGGAATTGGCTTAGAACTTTGCAACTCACACACAAGTGCTTTCACACAACTCAAATATAAATTCAGATAAGGTTTTTGATCAGATTCAATGCATAGTTTTTAGGTCTAATCAGCTTGAAAATTGGCTGTGGAAGTGAGTAAATTTGCGGAGTTGGAGAAGAGAGAGGACGGACAAAGTTGATTTCCCTGGAATGGAGGTTTTTCTAAGTCTTGAGGCTTTCTGAGGCTCCCACCAAAGGACCCGTTTTTGGGATGTGGGAGGATTGTTATGCAGTGAGACCACCACATGCGGACAATCCGACATAGGGACACCTCTTTCCCATAAAGAATAATGAAAAAGGCCCGACATGGGGACACTGACTTAACACAGGGAGATTTTTTCTATAAAATTGCGAATACGTTTCAGGCCAAATTACAAGGAACAGATATTTCCAACCCTAAAATTTATGGAAGAAAAGTTCTTGGGTATTTCTCTCACCGATTTACCATCCATTTAGCTAATTAAAAAAAATTACCTCAATCATAGAGGGACTTCCTTCTCTCTTTTTCACTTGAATTTTATGTTTTACAGATAATGCCAACATTTCTATGTACTGTACAGAGGTATCAGTATTCAATTTCCAAAATGTCCATATTGTGTTGAAAAACAGATTGAATCGGATATTGATTGAATCAGTTTAAATTGTGACAATTTTCATGGAATTATGGTGAGTATTTTGTCCATCCAACACGAATTGAAAATTATCCTGTATAATGTAAGTCTAAGGGAAAATTAGACTTGACTTAGGGACACTCTTGATGCACCAATTACGTCCGCATCTTGGGGTCTCACTGTATTTTATTTTATTTCTGCAATGCGCCGCAGTCCCCGACAAACCCCACTGTTCCATCAAGACCCCCCTTTTTCTAAAGTGGGTTTTGATGGAACAAAAAGTAAATTCTTAATGAGAATATCTGCGGTGCCATGATGGATGCTTTCACAGGGAATTTTAGATTATAAGTTGGTGTGTGTGTGGAGTGTAAACAAAATTCTACTGAGAAGGTCCCAAGTTTTTTCTCTGAATTTTTAATGCTGATTTTTTGAATTTGCAAAGAGAGGTGATCAGTCTCCTTTGCATGTTTTACAATAGTCAGTCGTGTGCATAAGCCAAATAGATTATTTCTGAGTACGGTACACTTGAATATCGATAACTCGAACCGCTCTTTTCGAGTCACTTTTTTTCTCTCTTTCAAGTCCCTGCCTCTGGATTCCCTTGGAAACAACGCATTTAGAAAAAACCTCTTGAACCCAAACGCGTTCCTCCTCAAACCTCCATAACTCGACTTTTCTGGAGCCCTTTTGGTTATTGTTTTCTCGACACGAAAAAAGAGGAAAGCATTAAAGAGTAACATCGTATTTTGAAAGGAAATGAAAAGCTAATTGGGCGAGTTCACCTTTGCCTCCCAAGTTCAGCTTTTAAGTGACTTCAAAAACATTGACCCGGGCTAAAGAGCGTTATTAATTTTCATCAATTTTATTGCTTCAAATTAGTCGATCGAGCGAGGTTACGGTCAAGTTTTCAAGGCGAACCTCTTGCTATTAGACCATTCAGGAAATCGTAAAGCGAATCATCACTCAAAATGCAGCCATCGATGGGGCAGGAAATAATTGAGTAAATGGTGGTTGACCATTTGTAATCAGTCATTCGGTGCAGCAAAATCGTATGAATAGAAAAGTAAAAATATAAGAGCACGGGAAATTATCGAGCCATCCTTTCGGATGATCATCTGAAAAGGGTTCTGTTTTCTTGTTAGATACCCTTGGAAATGAGGAGGTAATTGAACTGTTTTCAAAAAATCAGACACCGCTCGACCTGCTGAAATATTGGACTTTTATAAATTCGTCCCTTGGCGTTTAAAAAAAAAAAAAGAATGAGAAAGCGAGTTTGAAGTGTGTAAGTCTGAGTAATTTTTCTGGAGGTCTCACAAGAACCGGCGTGAAAATGCACCGTTTTTTACGTATCGAACGAAAAAAAGCTCATCGACGTTTTCAAATGCATTCTTTACATGCTAAACTTTTTTTTTACCTTAAAAGTAATCAGAATCAGATTCATCCCTTGATAAAATTGAATTTACAATTAAAATCTGCTTCTAAACTGACTGAAACTCTGGAATAAAATTGACCATGACCTCAGTGTTTCATGAAGCAAGTCGCACGCATTTTGAAAGAGGCCTTGAAAGTAAAGTACTTGAAAGGGATAATTCACAAGTTCTGAGCTCCTGTTATCACCTGGTACATTTAAAATTGCATTATTCTTTAAGAACCAAATATTGAAATTTTATAAATTCGTCCGTTGGCGTTTCAAAAAAAATGAGAAAGCGAGTTTGAAGTGTGTAAGTCGGATTAATTTTTCTGGAGGTCTCACAAGAACCATCGTGAAAATGCACCGTTTTTTACGTATCGAACGAAAAAAAAGCTCATCGACGTTTTCAAATGCATTCTTTACATGCTAAACTTTTTTTTTTTTACCTTAAAAGTAATCCGAATCAGATTCATCCCTTAATAAAATTGAATTTACAATTAAAATCTGCTTCTAAACTGACTGAAACTCTGGAATAAAATCATGAAGCAAGTCGCTCGCATTTTGAAAGAGGCCTTGAAAGTACTTGAAAGGGACAATTCACAAGTTCTGAGCCCCTGTTATCACCTGGTACAATTAAAATTGCATTATTCTTCAAGAACCAAATATTGAAGCTTTATAAGTTCGTCCCTTGGCGTTTCAAAAAAAAACGACAAACCGAGTTTGAAGTTTTCAAGTCTGAGTAATTTTTCTGGTGGTCTCACAAGAACCGTCGTGAAAATGCACCGTTTGTTTTTTACTTATCTAATAAAGAAGCTCATCGGCGTTTTTAAATACGCCCTTGAAAGGCACTAGATTGTATTTTAGGTTGTTGAGAAACCCTTTTTTTTAAATCACTTTTTCAAGTCTACATATTCTCAAACCACATGTACTGTATATCTAAAACAGTACAATATTGAATTTCATTACCTCGATCACTGACGTCCATTTCGACCTTGAATCCCGAATCATTCCTTGCCAATGCAGTGATCCTTCCTTGGCCAATTCGCTGGCTGCGAAACAAGGTGGACAGATGCACAAAAATTTGCAAACTGCCCAATGTTAAGATGATGATTAAGAATTGTCCGAATGCCTTGTACGCTGTCTTGGATCCTCCACAAATTCGCATTTTAGCACGACGCAGGGCGTGGCGTATTCAAGGAAAAAATTTTAGGTACCTGCAATTTTTGAGACACTTATTTTCTACTTTTGAAGACTTTCACTGATTTCCACTCGTAGTTTGTGCGAGGAATTTTTTTTTTTCCTTGCAGGATTGTGCGGCGAAATTGTCAAGTACTGCACATTACTCGAATTTCTGTCGAAGGTTATGTGTTTGGCACATGATGTGAAAGTGCGCATGAGTTCTTCGAATCGTGCGGATATTTTTTTTCTCTTTGCCTTAATTTATTTGATATCCCTTTTTTGTGTGTGAGACGTTTTGCATTATAATTCATCAATTTCCGTTTTATTTTATGTTTTTCTAGGATTCAAACGCACGTGAAGGACTTCTTGAGATCAGAGATTATCCATTTGTAGGTTGAAATAACTGAAAGGAAACGTAAGTTTGCTTTATGAACGTATAAAAATAATTTACTGATCGTCAAGTGTTTTAGCATCTTGCAAAGATTTTCCGTTGAATTACAGTGGGGTACTTTTCGTTTTTGAATTAATTCAAAAATTTTGAAATATTCTTTGGTATCGACGTCTGGTCAGTTAAAGCATCGTATTTCACTTCGACAGAAATTTTGAGTGTTCGTTTCAATTCGAGCGTGGGAAAGTCCCAATTTTTTCAGATTTGCACATGATAATTTGTTCAGAATTGTAATGCTTAAAATTGTCTCGCGAAAATTTATCGAGAAACACTTCGCCTTCATAAAGCTGTCTCTGTCTTTCTCATAATTTTTCCCCATTCGGCTTTTCAAATATTGCAAAAAGAATCTTATATATTCCTTGTGCAAACAAATTTCTTGAAAACAAAGATTTCCTAGGATCAAAAGCGTCATTATTCTCGCACCTTCTCTACCATACCACGTTTTTTTTTTTTTTTTTTTTTAAGTGCCGAACAGTTGAAAATTCAAAAATCTTTTTTAATTTTAAAATATCCTAGATTTTGTTTGGTGATCACTGATTTATTTTACAATTTGAAGTAATCCGCTCTACGATCAGGCAGGAAAAGACAAAGTCGTCGGGTGCGTTTTTCAATTGACACATTCCTCATTTCCACAAATTAATCGCTAGGGATTCAAGTTTTTGAGACTCGAAACTTTGCAAAGGAAATTTTCGTATCCGTGACTGGATTTCGATTGACGGAGCGCCAAAGACCTGACTGGCACAGCTGGGGGAGTAGGTTGATACGTGGATACTGTGTTTGTTCAATCGAACGTTCTCACGCTTATGCCGACTGTTGGCTTTTTTTTCTTTCTTTTTCATCTCGTTTTTTAGCCTCTCCTGAATAGACGTTCTATGAGATTGGTTCAGAGTTCAGGCTTGATCTTTGCCGTACAGTATTGTGGATCGTAGTGTTTGTGTGTATGTGTGTGTGTTTTTTTTAAAGCCAATGCGTAGATGACATGGCTTCTCGGAATGTCGGGAAGGTGTTGCTTGAAACATTGAACCCTGGGTACAGAGGTATTATATGTAGACTTTTTTTTAAACCAAAATTTTGTCCTCAACAATTTTCTCTTCATGACGATTTTGTATGGTTCCAAGGTGTTCTCTACAATGGAATTTTTTTCTGATCGCTTGAATTTTGTTATAGAGAGAATCCACTTTGTCATTCAAAAACTAGACTGACCCATCCTATAGCTGCGTGATCCTAACTAGCCTGAAACCAGCCTTAATTTAGTTTTTGTTTTGTTTAAAAAATTGATCCAAGAAAAATCGGGCGACATCTGTATAACGGGAAAGGCAACCATCTTCGAACATGTAAGGGCAAAACTGGATTATGAAACAATTTTTTTCATATGTTAAAAAATATTGTGCCCGTGTGAAAAGATTTCTTTGACTCCAACTTGGCATCTGAAACGAATCTTGTATCTGAGGACTGAGGGCATTAGAAGGGAAATAGCCACGTATTATTTATTTATTTTTTTCGTCATATCTTCGCCCGTAAGAAGAACTTTTAATCGGCGACATCTATGTAAGAGAGGATTAATAGGATCGAAGGCGTCCTACAATTTTATGAAGAATAGGGTGCCTTTTTCACGTTTCTTTGCAAGTGTTGGTACGTGAATATGAGAATATTCAAGCGATACTGATTCAGTAGACAATAGAATCGTAGGCGGTAGAGGACGTATATAATTGCTTGAAAAGGACAGATAAAAAAGCATGTCTTTAAAAAAACTTGATTTTTCATCTCAAACACTTGGTGACGAGTGTTCGTTGATCTTGAATCAGTGGGAGGTTTAATTTCTCTCGAGTTTTTTCCGAGTGTTGTGACTCTGTCTTTGGCTATAATGAGAAGGGAAAAATGTGGGGATGTCCCCTGAATAGTACTGTATTCCCTCTCGTTGTTCTCGAGCATTTCGTGACTTCTGCGAGTACCCTTCATAAACTTGAAGAACAATGTCCTGATTGTTCCCTTACCTCTGTACTTGGTGAACGGCGTGAATCGGAAACAATTTGAGTGAGTATCTCCCTGATCAAAAATCTCCGGCGTAGGTAGTGTTGCATTTCGAATTGTCAGTCCCAGTTTTGTCTGCGTTTTTGTGTTTCGCTCTGCTGGTATGTTTAGTTGGTTGAAAAAATTGAAGAAGAGTGTTCTCGCTTTTTTCTTTTCGTTGGCTTGCTTTGTGTTGGATGAAGCCTGGACATGGCGGGCATTCGGGTGCAGGGCTTGGGGCCATGTTGACTGGCGCAGCAGCTGCCGTTGGCCTGGGAAGCGTAGCCAAAGGAGTAAGTTGGATTTGCTTTTTCTTTCTCTTTCTTCTTGTTGCTTGGTGTATTCTTTGCATGCCTGAACTTGACCGTTTTTCAGGAGAAAAAAAAATTGGGAAGGGCTGGTCTCGAACTCATGCCGTCGTAAAGAGAAGGAACAGTTAACTTGTTGCCACCTTGAGTTTTGGGTTAAAATTTACAGTACAGTATTGTACTTACTCCTTTTAGTGATGCCAGTGAAGTGACTTGAAGATGGCGGAACGTCAGTCTGTTATCCTTTCGTAGATGTCGCAGGTGTAGGAATCTGGCATGGATCCCTAAATACAGGGCCGTTCAACCTGTGGTGTGTTGGAAGAATTGTTTTGGAAATTTAAAAATAAGGTCAGAGGAAGTACTTTAAGGTTTAGTCTGAAAGGATACGGTATGTAATGAGTATATATTATGAAGTGCAATACTTTGATCTCAGTCTATGCTGTACAAGTATACATGGTAAGCTAATTTCTGGGCTCGCAGGAGGCATTACACAAGCACTGCCATGTTTTGACTTTAGTACTGTTATAGTACAATCTGGAAAAAGATTGTGTGAGACAAAGCTCACAAAGAATGAAGTTTAAATTAATAAAGAACAAATGTTGAACAATAAAATATTAGATTAAAATAATCAAAGACACAATCCGCCGGGGAACACGGCAGGGGATAAAACTCGGTAGTTACCCCAAAGAGAAAAACGATAAAGATACTGTATATTTTCTGAAATATTCGATAAATTCACACTCAGAGAGAAATCCATCTATTCGCTGCAAACCAAGAAGGAAGACTGTGTAGGAAACGAAGATAAAATGGACTAACTCGTAATTATTAAATCCCAAGGGATTTTCCGGTTGCGGAGTATATGTTGAAATAACTGGTTAATTATCGTATATTGAAAGAAGTGGGACGACAGTAGTTTACTCCGGTATATTCCCTTGCGTGGGACGACTATACCCTACAGATTGTACTGTATAGCCGTGATTTATGGGGAACTACCGTATTTAAAGGAGTACCATGCGCACCATTTTTCTCGAAATTGGAAGAAGAAAAAAATTGGGGATGCGTGTCGAGGGCGGGTATACCGTAAATTTGTTAAAAAGTTTTAAAAGCTTAGCTGGTTCCAATAGGAAGTTTTTGGCCAAAATTTTCAGAAAAACTTTTTTTACAGAAATAATAACAGTTGGATGGATTCGGGTTTAATCAATGTCTAAATTCAACTGTGGGTGTTCTTATTTTTGAAATATTGCAGTTCGAGAGTCATTAAAAATGGGGTGCATGTCTTAGTCGGGAGTGCAGTTCATTTAATCATTAAACTGAGAAACCTGGGTTCGTGTGGTAATCGAGTAAATATGCAGTAAATACACATGAAGGTCCGTGTCGATTCGATGTCTCCATTCTATGATTTTTTGTGCTGTGTGTCTCTTTACTTTGTAAGGTGTTGGGTTCGGGTCATGGAGGACACTCGGGAGGTAAAGGTGGCTTGACAGGCGCAATTTCTGCTGGAGCCGCTGCATTGGGGCTCGGTGGACATCATCATGCCCCCGGGATGCCGGGAAAATCGGTACTTGTCCAAAGTACTTTCATGGATCGTTTAGCAGTAGTACCGTAATTCTCATTGGATAGGGTCGGTTCTTGTTGATCTATGAAATACAGTAATTACAAGCGCATTACAGTACATGTGAACATTTCGAATGAAGTGACACCTGTTGAGTCTGTGCCCAATGTTGAAATGCATATGAATTAGCTTTGCCTGAAGATTGCGATATTTCCCGCTACTCGCTGCACATTTCGTAGAAGTCCAGTCGACAAGTATTTATGTTTACTTCCCTTCTTCGCCTTTGCTCGGTTAAGTTGGAATTTCGTGCGTGAGTCTGGAGGGTGTATTTTTCAAGGTGTGGGTCTCAGTTACTTGTTAATCCCACTCACGAAAACATATACCGTACATTTTTCAATTTTTCAGTTGAAGTTAGGAAATGAAATTTCCGATCTTCTGAAAGATGTGACATTATTTCAGTAATGAAAGGGGATTTCACTCCAGCGCTGAGCATGGTTTTCTTCAAAATCATGCAGGTGTCGCCTGGATGAATCACCTGGTCAAAGTAAACCGATTGAACTTCAACTAAACTAATCAAGATTAACCTCAGTCGACAAACGTGAATGCATTTATCGTGGCATAACATGAACTACAAAACTAATTGGACGCTAGAAATTATAATCGAGCTCTGGCGTCACCTATTCTGTACAAATATGATATGCAAAGAAAATATGTGGGTTTC